CCCCTCCACCGGCCTGCTCTCCCGCGAGGGCGTCGACCCCACCCTCGGCCGCTGCCCCCGCCACTTTGGCCTCAGCCCCGACGGCGGCTTCGCCCTCGTGGGTGACCAAGATGATGACGTCCTCAAGGTCTTCAGGCTCTGCCCCTCCACCGGCCGCCTGGCGGCCTGCGTGCAGGAGCTGCCCATGGCGACGCCCAACTTTGTGCTGGTGACGGGCGTCGCGCTGCCGCGGCGCCCGCCGGTGCCGGAGCGGGCGCCGACGCCGGCCGCGGTGGCGGCGGCGAGCGAGGCGTACGTGAACGAGGTGCCGGCGCCAGAGCAGCGGATGGCGGCGCAGGTCACGGTGTGCGCGAACTGAGGCCCACGCGGCGCGTGTGCGCGTGTGTGTGCGCCGCGCTGGCCCCCTCTGCGCCCGGCGCGGAGGGGGCCGCTCGAAGCCACAAGCGGAGCGGAGATGAGCCCGGCCGGCAGCCGCCTTGGAGGGGCGGGTTTGATGGATGGGGGGAGGCGGGGCAGTGCAGAGCGTCACTTTTTGGCCCTGACGCGTGCCGCGCGGCGTGCGCCGCGTGGCGCGTGGAATGAGCATGAGAAGAATACGAGCAGGCAGCCGGCGGGGCTGCAGCACTCTGGTTGCTTCGAGATGCGCGCGACCCTGCATCAAGAGAGAGGGGCACGCCACGCCTGTGCGGCCGCGGTCCCGCGCCCGCGTGCCCGCCGCGGACGCTGCCCGTTCCGCCCGCGGCCCCTGCGCTCCAGGGGGGCGCCCTTGTACTGCGAGCGGGGCGCGTGCCGACGCTGCTGCTGTCGGCCGCGCCCACATTCGCTTTCATGCAGCCTCGATTGCCTTCCGCCGCCAGGACGCGCGGCGCGGCGGCCCTTCGCCCCTCCCTCGCGCCCCTGCCGCTGCAACGCGCCAGCAGCGCGCCGCTCGGAGCCGCCGCCGTCGGCGGCGGCGCCCGCGGGCCCGCCGCCCGTCCGCGCTGCGACCAGTAGTGTTGATCACCACAGAGCGAGCCTCCCTTTCGCTTTCAGGCCTCAACAAAGCTCTCTTGACCCCCACTCGGCAACATAACGCGCCATGGCCGCTTGTTCCCCCGTGCGCTCGTGCCCGCCGCGGCCGCCGGCCATGCCACGCCCATAATATGCAATGCCCCACACACACACTTGCACGCAGCGCTGCACACACTGTGTGGCCCTCGGCACGCGCCTGGCGCCTGGTGCGCTCCTCCACTCCCTGACGCCTCAGCGCCGCCGCCGCCGCCGCGGCCGCAGCATCGGGCCGAGGCGGCGCGCATGGCCCTGCGTTGGCGCCGCGGCCCCTGTACCCATCCACCACATTTTAGCTCCGGCCCCCGCTGCGCCGTTCCGCGCATGCCGGCCGCACCATGGCTTGGATTGCCGGCGGCCGGCCGGTCGCGATCGACGTCAAGTCGGGCGGCGCCTGCTAGGCAGAATTCTCGGGCCGGGCCATGTCATGTTATTTGTTGTGCCGGGTTTGTTTCCGGGGCCTCTCACGAGCTTTCTGGTCCCCGCTCAATACGTTCTTTGATCGAAGCCTTCAGCGTCCCTTGCCCCCAGTCCTGCGCGCCCCGTGCCTGTCCGCCTTCCGGGGGCAATGGGCCCTCGCCCTGTGTCCCTGGCCCCTCGACGCAGCGCCTGTCGGCAGAGGGCGCTGCACAGTGGCTGGTCGGCTTGAAAAGCGCTGTAAACCAAGGCTGTGTGTAGAAGCAAGCAGCTCTTCGCCTCAGGGCACAGGGACAGACCAGCGCGGCGCATGGTTGCAGTCAATGAGATGAGTGTGGGTTACACGGGAGGGCGCCTCACCGTGCGAATGAAACCGCGGGCAGTGACAAAAGGACACGAAAACGTAAAAGCCGCGCGCTCGAGGGGTTCAGACGAAAGCTAACAGGCAGCGCTGTGTTGGTGCGGCGCGGCGCCGCGCGCGCGCGCGCCCTCGCCCGCGGCTCGGCATGCCCTGGCGCCCCACGGCCCCGCCGCACTGCGGCGGCGTGAGAGGGGCCCTGGGGCGCCACAGCATGATGGCGGTGGGTGCGGCGGGAGGGACGCGCGCGCGCGCTTGCGCGGGAGGCTGCGGCGCAGTAGTGTGCGCAAGGTGAACAGTAATGACATGGCAGCGGCCAGGAAGTGCGGAAAACTGAAGTGCTGGGAAACAGGCTGCGCGCGCACGCGTACCGACGCGGCGGCCGAGGAGCATGCCGGGCCGGCGGGCGGCCCCTCGCACTCGCGGCGCGCCGGTCGGCGCGCCGGACGGGGGGCTCGCGGCCAGAGGCCGCGGCCCCATTGGCCGTTCTGCGCGCTGCGCGATCCCTGAGGGCTGGGGCGGCGGTCCGCCGCCCCGGCCCCGCAGTGATGCCTGGCCTGGCCTGGCCTGGCCTGGCCTGGCCTGGCCTGGCCTGGCCTGGCCTGGCCTGGCCTGGCCTGGCCTGGCCTGGCACGTCGCAGCGCGCAGAGGGCTGGTGGGGTGGGTTTGTGAATCAAAATGAATTTGCGAGCAGATCTGCAAGCGGCGGATGGAAAGACAATCACACAACATCAGCGCCGCGCCGCCGCGGCCCCGCGCGGCCAGGCGGCACGAGCGCAGCTGTGGTGGCCGGCGCACGCAGAGGGCCCTGCCTCCAAGGAGCCCCGCCCGCCCTCGCAGGCCGAGCCCGCCGCCCCGCTTGGTTCGCAGGCCGGGCAGCGGGCCCGCGGCCCAGAGAACGGCCAGAGACGCCAGCCCCGCCCTCGCACCGCGCCAGCCCCGCCCTCGGCAGCGGCGCGGCGGCCACAGCCCACTCTCCCCTGGCGTTCCCGCTCAGCAACATCGGTCCATTGCCGTCGACGCCCCGGCCGGCTCCGCCGTTCGGAGCGGCCTGGGGCCGTTGCGAGGCGGACCCCGCCGCCCCTAGGCCTTATGGGCTCATGAGTCAGCCATGCCGTCATCGGGCATCTCATTGGGTCCAACCATGCCTGCAGGAGAGGGGGGGGGGCGGGTGAGGGCGCGAAGGGGTCAAGGGTCACAAGGCAGCCGGGCAGGAGGACAGCGGGGCGCGGCCCACGCGGCGGGCGCGGCCAGCACGGCAGAGCTGGCCGCCAAGAGGACGGAGGGCGCTGCAAAGGGCACGCGTCGCGGCGCGCCGCGCCCGCTCCCCGCGCCGGCCGAGACGGGGCTCGTGGGGGGGGGGGGGGGGGGGTGCCGCCGCGGCGCACCGGGGATGGCGGCGAGCGCCTGCTTGCGCGCGGCGGCGGTGGCGGCCTCCTCCTCCTCAAAAGTGCCGGCGGCCGTGTCGCCGAACGACTTGGTCTGCAGGGGAAAGCGGGCGAGGC